CTTTGTTGGCCGTAAGTGGGAATCGAACAGTGTATATACACTGCTGGGGAAATTGGCAAGCATACACACAAACCCAGGCACAAAGGTATACATGTATATGTTTCCACAATCATGAACCTGGACAAATGTCTATATCTAAAGAAAAAATCACCCCACGTCAATGCTATTTAAAAAAAAATATTTCAGTAAATAGGATTGACATCTGTCAGCCATTAGTGCACGGTAGTTTTAAACAACGGGGACATTTCCTTAAACAGCCCCACTCCACCAGCCTCTGTCCACTCCGCAGTATAAATGACTGGGGCCAGCGTTCGTCGACCGCATGCGGCAGGGTAAATTGAGTGCTCCCTCATCGTTCAAGATATCTGACCAGTGTGGAAGCGTCGGCCACATACCCTTTAAAGGGGGTGTCTAGAGCTCCCTCTCGTGGTGAGCCTGAGCAAACAATTACCTTTATTTGTTGTCACTAAAAAAAGGGATCTCTTGTTGTTGTTGTTGAAGGTTTTCACGAAAGTGCTTTGTTGGCTATTTCAGGAATATTTTGATGTTTTTTTCTTGGATTTTCTGTTTGCAAATGCACAAAGTCACTTTAAGATGTTTTCTTGTTCATGTTTTAGTTGTTTTGTTTGTTGCGGTTGCACCCGATTCAAGAGCCGAATGGCTCACAGGGCTATACCAAATAAATGAAACTATGAAACTTGAGCTGGATTCACAGTGAAATGACCACAATTCAATAGCGTGGTGCTTCTCCCTTGAGACTTAAACAGCGCACATCAAATACGGTTCTGGACAGCGTGTACGGTACGCGTGCACGCTTCATCATACACGGTTCACGCCTCTTATGCTGTGCCCCTTCCCACCCTCCGCCATAGTTCAACGCCGCCTACTCATTGGTATGATGAGCCAGCGTAACACTGGTGTTTCAGGGAGAACTGCGATGCCCTTGGCATGCAAATGTTTGAGACGATGGTGGGTGAAGTACAACCATTTTAAAGGCTGTAACACAAGTATAATGGTCCCTTCAAGTGACACATTTAACTGCTAATGTGCTGTAAATGGTGTGAAGTGGCCACGCAAGTGTGAACGTCACAGTACTCGACATACAAAATGCAATTTTTGCAAAATAATTCAAACAATATATTACAAAATACACTGAAAGCATACATTTAAAGCATTACGTGCGCATGGCAATAGAGAAAGTAATGCCTGCAATCAGTCTTGTCTTAGGTGTGCTCAATTTCTCATGTGAATGCCATTATTCAATCGTGGGAGGCTGCCGTGGTGTAATGGTTATTAGCACAATGGACTTGACATCTAGAGGTCACTTGTTCGATTCGATCTCCCGTCACAGCAGTTTTAACAATTGTATGTAGTTTTGTTTAACTTATTTCGCACCGTATATAGGTGTGGGATGGACAACAAACTACACGCAAAAAGCAGTTCTAAAGAAATTCGTTTGCATCTAGATTTAAAAGTGCATAGCTCAGTGGCTTCCTAATATCGGATGGAAGAACTATTCCTGATGGCCGCAGAAGCACACGTTGGGCAAATTTAATAAATTCCCCCACCCAGTATTATTAATCCTCCATAATAGAGGTTTTTGGGTTAGATCGCTTAAATATATAAATGTGTCGTTATAACCCGCCACTACCCGACACTGCCAACTGGTAAGGGTTATCACGTAAACAGAACGTGGCCAATTCGTCACTAGTACAGCACACCGGTGTGTTGGCGAGCCAAGCGACAACATTTACAATCTGAGTACGACGTTTCGCCAGTAATTACAACTAGCTTCATCAGGCGACAGCCAGATTTGTGGAGAAGTCTTCCTGTTTCGTTCCTTATATAGAGGCGTAGATGTGGTGACCATCCTTCTGCGCTCTTGCACAATGTTGGGGGGGGGGGGGATTACTGAGGCAACGTACATTATGCATGTGCATTATGCGAGCCCTTTGAACTTGTCCTTCCTGTCTATTATGTTTATTAAAATAGCCCTACCAACGGTAATCCCTATTGAAGTACGCTGCAGTTTGTAGGCATGCATTTTAATAATGTATTATTTGATGATTCGCTTCCACGCAGCACTAAGACGGTAGCTATCCGAATGGTTAAAGTTATTTTGATTTCTTTCAATTGAGTGTCCTTGTTGGCATGCATGCTCTGCTACTGCTGACATTTGCATTTGGGAGAATTTAATATTCATCTTATGTTCTTATGGATGATATTGGTCGCGAAAGCCAACGTGTTAAACTGACTAACCAGTATAAATCCTCTTAGAACTATGTTTGCCCAGTGTGGGAGAGTAGGCCTAAATAGCCTCTGGTAGAGTTCTCTAGAATTCCCCCGAGTGGAGTCCCATCCGTCAGCAGTGGCATTGGCAAGAAGTGTCAACGCTGAACCTTTACGTTTTACCTATGTGTTGTTAGAACTGTGCACACACTTTGGCAAAACTGTGCTTGTAGTAGCATTGGCAGCCATTAGTGCACGATTCAAGTCTTCGAGTATTTTTTGTCTGATAGTGTTAACCAATCAAACACAATTATTAGAACACTTTATAACTAAAATAAATGACTAAGTGCTGCAACAACTCTTGAGAAGCGACACAGGTTTGGGAGAGTTAATCTTTGTTTGGCCTATTAACATCAACAAAGGTATACTGGAAGTCTTTCTTTGCCCCATTAAAGAGTGTGGGAGAAATACAGTTGTAATAACAATTGGGCTTCATGGCTGACTGCTTTATAAAGGTTCTCCTGATAATATTTCCTCTCTGCCTCAAAGCTGTTTTAAGACATTCATGTTTACCAATATTATGCATTCATATTTTTACATAATTTAATGGCGTAAGCTTCTCTTGACAGTTATAACATTTTCGGTAGACGGCCTTTTAAAAACAATTGTGCCATATTTTTGACGAGAAATTAAATATATATTTTACCTTTCACATTGCGGTGTTTTTTCTGGCTCCTTGGCATTTTGGGCTTTTGGGCATGTGATCAGTTATTAAAGATACAAAGTATGAAGAGCAGCATGTTGATATTTGAGGCTATTGCTAAAATACCTTTGCACCTAATGAATACACCTTTTTCCCGACACAAAATTACGTAATGAAGGTTTCTCAGGTATAGATACTGTACATATACAGATAATTTATGAAGCAATGACCTCTATGATATTATGCTTTTCACATTTTACCTATCGATATCAGAACACATTTAATATCGTTGCATGGCAAAGTTGAATGTGCACTTGTAGAATGTCACTGGGATATTTTACGAGTTTACATTAGATACAGGACTCTTAACCTTATTTGACAGTCAGGGTTAATTGATTTGACCCACGCCTGCCAGAATATACATGATTGACAATGCATTCTTCAGATATGGATGGACAGGGAGTTTCAAGTTTCATTTATTATAGCCCTGTGAGCCATGCGGCTCTTGAGTTGGGTGCAACCGCAACAAACAAAATATGAACAGAGAACATCTTAAAGCGACGACGCGCAACAGAAACATCCTGGATAAACCATCAAATCTTCCAGAAAAAAAACACCGTATTACAACGCTGTGTGCAAAAATTCCAGTGTGATGCAAGACAAACAATAACAACCATGATACATTTTGATTTAAAGCTTTCGTGAATGCAGGGATTCATATTCTTGGTTCTTTCGGTAAAGTCACGTAGAATTTTATTGTTTTATATTTTAATTATTTTATTGTTTCCCTTCTACGTGAATTTACCGAAAGAACCAAGAATAACCATAAGACAATTTCGATTCAAGTTATCAGGTCAACTCCACACTTCCGCAAGAAACATGGCTTAACCATATGTTTTAGAAATCACCAAAATAAAGCTATAAAATGCAATGTAGCAACAGTAATCATAGGAACTTTGATTCAAATTTAACAATAAACGATATACATAACATGTACGAACACACTTGCAGCCATATCTGTCAGCATGACACTCCCCGTGTATGATGTGTGAGTGAGTCAATGGTAGTGAGTGTATGATGTGTGAGTCAGCGTATGATAAGTGAGTCAGTGTATGATGTGTGACTCAGTGGTAGTATGAGTGTATGATGTGTGAGTGAGTCAGCGTATAATGAGTGAGTGTATGATGAGTGAATCATTGTATGATGAGTGAATGGGTCAGTGGTTGTGTGAGTGTATGATGTGTGAGTGAGTCAGCGTATAATGAGTGAGTCAGTGTATGATGTGTGAGTGAGTCAGTGTATTGTATGATGTGTGAGTGAGTCAGTGTAAGATGAGTGAGTGTATCATGGCATCCTCCCCGCCATCACTGGCCAACCAATTCGGAGAGATGAAGGAACAGCTGGGCTGAGTGATTCAGACTTTGCATAGTCCTAATACAATTTCATGGAACCTCATACATAGTTTTTTTTTTGCTGCATGAGCCAATGACCCGTTGTATTCTGCCAAATCCTTGCCCTCATATTTATTACTATTATTAGACCCTCTATCTTTTTCCCCAAAGTTAGAGCTGACAGAATATATTTAATGTCAGTGGTGAACTGCGGCGGCTTTGATATATTTTTTCTCGTGAGGAATGCATTACGAGTTTTATATATAATCTTACAATCACAACTTTCAAACACCCCCTCCCCCCAAAAAAATAGGTTCACCGTGATGATGTCATTTCGCTCTATTTAAGACCGGAAGCAGGAAGACTTCTTCACAATTCTGGCAAATTGCCTGATGAATCTGGTTGTAATTTTGAGCGAAACGTCGTACTCAAGTGTAAATGTTGTGGGTTTACTCTCCATCACACCGATGTGCTGAAGTAATAGCTGATTGGTACGTTTTGTTCACGTGACACACTTTACTAATTGTCTGTGTCCGGTGATGGTGGGTTTACGACACATTTGTATTTACACGATCTCACCCAAAAGTAACCTTTACTATGAAAAAAGGTGTTTTCAACAAAGATGCAGCTCGATAAATTGCAATGTAGTTGTGTCATAAATGTACAATGTGTTACAGGCCAGGAGAGCTGCGGTGGAGTTCTGCAGGAATTAAGTGGAATTATTGAAAGCCCTGGATTTCCTCAGGGCTATCCAAATAAAGCGAACTGCAGCTGGAAGATACTGGGCCAGGAGGAAAACCGGATCCAGTTAACGTTCGTCTCGTTTGCCTTGGAGGAGGAGTTTGACTTCTTATTTGTTTACGATGGAGAGCCAAATGCAGACAGCTTGATGCTGAGGTAAGGAACATGATGACCAACCTTGACGTCGTGGAAATGATGGAAAAGCATTGACGTATTGATGGAGAGAGGCACAAAATAATTGTGGTGAATAAAGCTGAATGACTAAAATCATGGACTCAATGAAGTGTTCCGAAAACGGTGTTGTTAGACACAACAATACCGTAGCGTATGTAACATATGTAACAATTAAAATTGAAAAAAAAAAGAATTGTATCGTGGTCTTGTTGAATTTGCTTCACGTTATCATAAGTAAAGCGTGCACGCATCCAGAATTACAATGATACATTAACACAATTGATTAAATTATCACCACTTCATCATCAACCATGATCAATCTGCCATCGACAAAATATCTACGGCCAATTCGATTCTGGAAAAAGATTTTTTAATTTACAATCACGGGGTGGCACAGTGATTAGAAGACTGCACTATGAGTGATATGTGAACCACTTATGGGTGCTCCCTTCACCTACTGACACTGACTGGCGTGGTGAAATATGGTAAAACATCTCCACGACTGACATGGCATGTGTAGGTCTTCATCCAGCAGTGGAGTCCCAAATGGCTGTAAAGTCTAATGATGATTTCTAGTGGAATTAAATATAAAACAACTGCAGCATTTTTATTGTCATGGTGAAAAGTTACAAAAAAAGCTAAATTATTTAAAAAAAATTAAGGGTAAATTTTGATGATGTCTGAGGAACGTTTGGTTAAAATAATAATCAATGAATACTTCGGACTGCACTGGATACTCATCCATTGGTGAGTGCATTTTTAGTTAACTATATTGTATGGAATGAGTCTAAGGTATGGAAATATATGCAATTGGCATTCTCCCAAACAATGGAATTTTTTTTGATACCCAAGCGAGGGAAACAGGAGTTGTGGAGATAGCAGGCACTTTTAATATGAGTCTAATGGAACAGCGAACAATCTGTGATGACTAATGACAGTGTGCTTTCAAGAACACGATGATTTCCGAAGACGTTCTGCTCCGTGCTGCCTCCGTCTAAATGGCGAAACAGATGTTATTAAACATTATTATTATGAAAATGGAAAATTTAAAAACTGACACATTGGTAACATGAGAGTCCACATTTTCTTCTAACATAGTCCGCGTGCGCTGAGTGTTTGGTTAATTTACGGGAAAGAAGAAAGGGGAAAACAATTTAGCTGAAGGATGTGTATGCTCCCACCACTTTCAGTGTCACCATGATCACTATCAACAGGAAAATAAACCTGTATCACCTGTACAATGGCCTAATACAATGTATACGTAATACCACTCGACCCACGTATTCTTATTTAAGGCAGATTATACTATACCATATTATGGTTCTTTCACAATTACGATGTATTGTACTTAAAGCACAAGTGGAGAGACTTAGCACTAAACCTCAGCCACTCGCCACAGACAACGTATACAGTGAGGGAAAAAAGTATTTGATCCCCTGCTGGCTTTGTACGTTTGCCCACTGACAAAGAAATGATCAGTCTATAATTTTAATGGTAGGTTTATTTGAACAGTGAGAGACAGAATAACAACAACAAAATCCAGAAAAACGCATGTCAAAATGTTATAAATTGATTTGCATTTTAATGAGGGAAATAAGTATTTGACCCCCTCTCAATCAGAAAGATTTCTGGCTCCCTTTAAGAGTGTGCTCCTAATGTCAGCTCGTTACCTGTATAAAAGACACCTGGGAGCCGGAAATCTTTTTGATTGAGAGGGGGTCAAATACTTATTTCCCTCATTAAAATGCAAATCAATTTATAACATTTTGACATGCGTTTTTCTGGATTTTTTTGTTGTCATTCTGTCTCTCACTGTTCAAATAAACCTACCATTAAAATTATAGACTGATCATTTCTTTGTCAGTGGGCAAACGTACAAAATCAGCAGGGGATCAAATACTTTTTTCCCTTACTGTAAGTCAAGTAAACATCATGGAGACATCACAGAATCTCGCAAGAAAAACTCAGTGTTCTTTTTTATTACACCCTTGGGTGTACTTTCAGAGATAACAAAAACAAGATCAAATACCAGCACACATTTTTGTGACGGGTGCATTTTTCGTGCAATCATCACTGACAGATGCCGCCAAGCTTGCTGTGCATTAAAGTCAGGTAATTCCTGAGAAAATTATACATTTTTAACCAGACTGTCTTGGGGGCATGAACCCACAATCATATCGGGCATGGTTCGGTACCTAAAAACACCAACTTCGGTATTCAAGCCTTTTTGTTTAGGCCACGCAACAAATGTAATCGTATTTGATTGGGAACAGATGCTACTTTTGGTCAGGCTATGGTAAATGATGACGATGCGATTGATTTGAGCTTTCATTTATCTATTTGTTCATCACAAGTTAGTGCTATGAAATTATTTATTTTAAAATAATATACGTGCATAAGCATACAGACATCTATATTTAAATGAGTTGCATAAATAAGTAACACCCACACAGGCAATTTCGTAACTGATAATAATGCATTTTGTCCACCATCACTAATTGTATCACTTGTAATTATATTTAAAATACTCGCAGAGGTCAACATGGACCTACCAGCAAGTCTGCATCAGCTGTAAATTATTAACAGCTACAGCATTCTCTTTTACTATTTAAAAGGGCCTATATGGCCCTTGTATAAATATTTAATGTATTTAAAGGTGTCTGAAATATAGTTGTCCCTTTCCACACGTTCGTTGATAGTTGTTTTACATTGCCTACAAGACGTATAAATATAATTGAGAACAGAAGACAAATTCTTTCCTCCAACATATTTGTGGGGCAAAAATATGAAAAAAACATTTTTTACCACTTCGCTTTCAGTTATGGCACCCTTTCGTCAATGTGAAGACATCACTTTCCTTTCAAACTACATGAGGTTTCGGTCACCCTCAGTGTAATAAATGGCATTATGTAATTTTATACCACTTAGCAATGATACACTAATGTCCCTGGCAAATGTGCCCATTTACAGTTCAGGTATAAATCAGTCAATGAGGTCATCTATGACACAAAATATGTTGGGTACAGAGTGTCTCTTAAATATTCCCAACTGTCAGTTATACAACGTAGATAGTTTGCGCTGATGTGGGTTGCACAAGCCCTTTGTATAAAACTTGAGCAGAGATTCGGTGTCTCCAGAGATTTCAGTGACAGCGTTGACATTTTTTTTGTATATCCTGCCAGGAACAAAGTAATGCATTCACTCGCATAATTAACTGGTGGTCAATTTGGATGCTCATGTTGCTGGGATTCAGCAGTTGATAATACATTGCTCACAAGACGACTGACATTGCACCACAGACAGTACGTTCTTAAAAAATGTCATGCAGGGTTTTCTTTGGTTATAGCATACCAGTACAATTTTTGTGTTTTAAGATTCACGTGTATTTCATGAAATGTCGGCATAAATGAAATAATACTGATCACTATTGTACTTATTTTATGAAAAGCCATCGCTATAACATAATTCAGCAATAAAGATGTTCATGATACATTAAACAAATCTTTTTGGCCTTTGCATTAATATGTAAAGATAGATATGCATGAAACTATGCAATTAAATTACTTAATATATATTATCATGAGAATGTAAAATGTAAACAATTATACTTAAAGAGCATCGTACATTAATTAAATTGTGTTATCTATCAATGTAGGTGTGTTAAATATTTAAAGTATGCATAAGAAAATACATTATCATAAGTGACATTTAAACACAATTATAAATCAGATACAGATACGATTGCCTTTTTCTGTAATTTTGCGTGGCATGGATTTTTTTTTGTTCGAATGGGCAGTTGTGAATCTGAAAGATCCATTTTCTCTTGCAACCTTATCACTTGTTTTAACCAAACACATGTCATCTCTGGCAATCGACCAAAAGGGACAGCTCAGATTGAAGAGGATAACTAGGTTTTGATGTCACTTGTTCCTTGGCTTTCTGAAAACTCGTAACTTTGCCACTACTGCAAACTTCTACCATAAAGAGTGGTCTCAAACTGCCGCTGCCTTAATGTTTGATTCAGCATCCTTGGCTCGAAAGAAAATTACACGGATGAATGTGCATCGTGAAGATCACCAGCTGATAAGAAAAGAACACAAGAGTTCTTGAAGCACGCAGCATATATGCTTCAAAATAAGTCATGCAGTACAAATCCATCAGTATGTTCTCATGTGAATTTTAAAGCCTGCCATTGGCATTACTATTGATGACTCAGAATGGTGGTTATGCTCTTCACCTGTCACCTTGATCAGCACAAAGTTTGTAAAAGGTTGAGGCAAGGGTCTAAATAGGGTGCGCGCACGCACAGGTGGTAAAAAGAAACATAGACAGGCTACTTTATATATTTATATACAGCCTACTTTATATTTCGATTTAAAGCTTTCGTGACTTCAATGATTAATCTTCTTTGGTTCTTTCGGTAAAGTCACCAGACAGTCTCGTCCCTTCACCTGATGAAGGCCGCTTGTGTTGTGGCCGAAACGTCGTGAGAATATTATTGTGTTATTTTATTTTATCAATTTATTATTTTATTCTCATTCTACGTGACTTTACCGAAAGAACCAAAGAAGCCTACTTTATATAAACCGCAGGGCAGTGTGTTAATTCACATCCAGCAACTGAACACACATAACCCCGTAATGCTGTTGCATCAGTAAAGGGCAGGACCTTTTGGTGGTTACAATGATGCGGGTGTTTGAGTGACGTTTCATTTTATTTTAAATTGAACACCTACGAGCAAACATTGATTACAAAACATAATTTCCGTTGCCAAAGTGTGAATGCACAGACAATATAATGCATACTTGTATTTGCTACGAACAGTTCAAGGATTCTGGCCTTCCTGCTTACATTGTCAAGTGTTTAAATTTGTCCATAAATCAATGAGAGACCACACATGCAGCATGATGTGGTCATTTTAAAAGTACTTGAAATCGTATACCTCATTAATTGTCTACCCACTGTGATAATTCGTGTTTTTT